ACTACGGCAAGTGCCAAAGTAAACAGATCCGGAAATCTGTTGCCATTAACAAATTGCTTGTAATGTTTGATTAGACTTCGGCAGTTTTGAGCCCATACTCCTGGGCACAACCTTTTTGATGAGGGACATGCGCAAATGCAATCAAAACTGCTTAGATTCAAACGAAGTTTGATTCGTAATGAAAATCAAATTTATTTTGAGCAAAAGAATTGCATGAAAGTGGCAAATTATTGCATTCTACGAGATATTTATGATAAATTATTCTGATGATTAACACACAATTTATTTTCACATTGGGGCGCCTGTCAAATATTGTGCGACTTTCAATATGCAAAGGAATGTACCTACTTTCCAGTATTTGAAGGTAAAATAACAACACTGTTGGAAATAGCATTACAATAAGAGCAACCATGTTCAACGATTAGTTGTACTCTAATTTATGAGAAAAAGCGATACAAGCGAAGCGAGGTGATGCAATAATACATGCATTTCTGCTAAAGAAATATGAAATAGTCTAAAGATTCAGAGACACCCATGTAATTCAAATTGGAATTGTGCGTGAATGTATATAGTACAAAATGTTTTTGTTTTTTTAAATATTTCTTGTGCCAGGCGACAATTCTTGACATTGAGTGCCACTGTTGTCTCTCCTGACATTTTTTTTGTATGTGCAAATTGCAAGTGCAAGTGCTAGTACTGACACAGAGAGATACGACTTCTGTAGCAAAATGCACCGTCAAATGGCATTTTTTTTTAATGTGCTATCCTGGTGTCAACCAGGCCGAACACAAGCACCTGCGGACCTTAACCAAGGTTCCCCCAAAGTTGCATTCGTTAGTGAATGAATCTCGGCCTTCCCATTGAGTCTGTGGCACACTCACCAGATAAATATTATGTTAAACATAGCCAAAGTGTTGTGCATTAGTACACAAACTAAAGTATGAACACATGTATTAAGGGAATAATTTTGTTCCATTGTATTAGACTTCGATGGCATGTTATAAAAACATGAAAAGAAAAACAATGATGAATGTCAAAATATCCACATGCCCGAAAAATATGCAGTATTGCATGATAGAAGCTATCCGCCAGTTTTCACTCACCAGTCGTAAACACTCGCTGAATTCATCAGTGTATATGAATGAATAAACTCTAATACCAATTATATACAGAGAAAAAACAATTGTATAGCTTGTAATATCACTTTTTACCAAAATGAAAGATATATCAAAATTAACAAATCAAAGAGATCCATCTTATGTTCAATATCACAGCAACAAGATTTACGATTTTCAACAAGAATTCAAAAATATCACTTTTTACCAAAAATATTCATCAAAACAAGTCATTGTTAATGACACAGTCCCTGTCCAAAATATTGTGATCTGACATATCAATTTGATGCTGATGAAGTCATTGAGATTAGATTGAAACCATTAATAGGAGATGGATTTGTAAAAAAAAATATGATTTAGTGCTTTAAGAATTGAACAGTCATATTGAATCAAATTACAAAAATGTTCATGTTGATGTATCCTTTGGTATACTATCGTTGTACAAAATTTAAACAAACGTTCATGGCATTCAAGAGACAGTTGCATGGATACAATGAAAAACAAAATGACCACCAATCAGCCATATTTGTTTGAATCAGGGGAAAAAAATATGACTTGCACCTACAACCCAATATGCATGATCTTCATACCAACTTTGATCCAAATCGGCCTAGTCATCTCTGAGAAACAGCTCCGGACATGTAAAATGGACAATTTAGGACTTTTATATGAAATTTGGGCGTCAGTCAGCCATATTGAATCAAATTACAAAAATAATGATGGTGTAGTTGTATCTATTGGTACACTATCTTTGTACAAACTTTAAACAGAAACGTTCATGGCATTCAAGATAAAGTAGCATGGGTACCATGAAAAACAAGATGGCGGCCATAATTGTTCGAATCATGAAAAAAAAATTAAGTGCACCTACAACCCAATATGTATGATCATATAAACTTTGATCCAAATCGGCCCAGTCATCTCCGAGAAACTGCTGCGGACACGTTTAGGTATCAGAAATAGCAAATTTTACATTCAAAATGGCCACCAGTCTGACATTTTGCCCCAATCATAAAGTAACTTGACGCGCATATGTAAGACATTATGTATTGTCTTCATGTAAAGTTTGAATGAAATCCGTCAATGGGTGTCCGAGATATAGCCTCGGACATATGTACGGACAGGAACAAACCCAAATTAATAGTCCCCGTTTTCGGACTTCGGCCGAACAGGGACTAATTAGAGATGTAACGGAATGAATGAATCAAAGTGAGGTCCAGCTGAGATACCCAAGCAATCAGACTTGAGGTTTTCAAGAAGTCAAACTAAGTAAAAAGTTTACATGGCTAAAATTGAACTTAATGTCACAAAATGAACAAAGCAATTGGGCTGGCTCGCTCGCACTCACAACCCACCCACCCACCCACCCACCCACTCACTCACTCACTCACTCACCCACCCACCCATGAAATGACGAATGAGACTTCAACCAAGAGGGATTAAAAGGACATTTGAAACAATACATTTTAAAACAAATTTAATATCTTAAAAGGCATTGGCATTGTGGGTAACTGGTACAGACATAAAATCTAAAAATTAATATTATTCTGAATAAGTATATTGGAGACAATACACAGCAACATTTACATTATTTAGAGAAAAAAACAACTGTTAAAAAAAACATGCATATTTATAGTTTTATTATCTGTACTATCATTAAACATTTATTATTCATCATTGAAAATAAATATACGTGTCAATAAAGTATCTAAACGATAAAATGTGTCATTGAACTTTACAGAAGGTCAAGTTTAAATTGAAAACAAAGATTTCTGTAATTAGAATTGCTCTGATTGTTGTAAAAATAACAACTGATTACCTACTTTGTTTCAAGATATTGTTGATTACTGGCAACATTAACTTTTAGATTTATGGGTGGTAGTTGTTGCTCAGTGCGTGTTCAAATTTCATGTAAGAACAGGACGCGGCACGATGACCACAACCTAGACATATTTACAATATTTCTACAGCTCAAGACATAGTTAAATTATTTCTACAGGTAAATATGTCAGGAGTATAAACAAAAGTACGCAGGTACAGCATTTTGAAACAAAGTAGGTAATGAGTTGTTCTGATTTTACAACAATCAGACCAACATCCAATGACAAAATCTCGGAGGTTGTCACCGTAAAATTTAAATATGGGGTACAGTAATTAAATAATGTACCTAAAATCTGTATTAGAAGCCGCATCTCTAATAGAAGTCTCACAGATTCTTTTTGAACAATTGAGAAGCAAACATTCACCATTTCCATGTGTAGATGCTCTAATAGAAGCTGCATCCCTTTTGTTGCATTGTGCCATTTTAATAGAAGCCACAGCTTCTAATACAGATTTTACAGTACATTAAATGAAATGCAAATTTAAATTCATTACAAAAATTTACTTGGTAAAGAGTTCAAAAAAATAAATGAAATGCAAAATTATGTAAAACATTCATAGTTCTTTACAGACCTAACCGTAATATTGAAGTAAAAAAAAACGATGGATTTTAGACTGAGACAGTAAGCATGTTGCCATACACCAAGACATGCAACTGACGTGGATTAAAACTAGCACTGTAGGCAAAGGAAAGATTATACTGTTAAACTTTTGGCAATGCAAATTGATTCAACAGTGTTCACAATTAAGAATTTTGTGAAAGTCACTGTGCTGTCCTTGTGAAACGTTCACTGCAACAATATTGCATATTTTCTCCAATGTTTTGTCAGCGTTTTTTTTTTTTTTTTTTATAGTATAAACCTTACCAAATGATTGCTGTTGTAATTTCTTTCGATTTTTGAGAGTCGTTCAATGAAAGTCACCGATTCGAACCCTAAATGAATAGTTAGCTGGTACTAAATGTCACGCTTTTTACACTGGCTAAGAATCAGTTTATTACACATCTTATATTTTATTGGACATCCTCATCGGCAGACGTGATCTGATCGGTGTTGGGATCTTCCCAGTACTTCTCTTTGTCTCTTCTATCACGCTCTTGTTTTCTATATTCTCCTGGTCACCGATACTGAGCTATATTAATGAATGAAATCAGATATTAAGTAAAGATCTCTAAGAAAGACATCTTTTATTGACAGTTGACCATAATGCGTACAGCTTTCATTTACGCCGCAGAATAGTTGCTTGAATCACCAAGAGAATGCAACTTATAGAATGAGGGGCACAAACGTTTTTATGTAGTTGGTACATGATGGGAACGAGTTAATGTGCATTGAAGACAGTAGCAAAATTCTAAGCTTTGTTTCATTGTGGCAAAATAGCTCCCTTATAAGAGCTGTGTTTTCCAGATCAATAACTGGATTCTGTTCATCCAAGTACCAAATAAACAGCAACTGCAATGTACACAAGTTGCATTCACACTTTGCATAATCTGCAGAACATCCCTGAGTGACCCCTCGTAAAAGGATCATGGCGGCTTTCGATTTTGTATAATTCATAAGAAATCTTATCTAATGTAGAAGACCCTCCTAAGATAAAGTAAAGAGGCGTTGAGTGACTACAACAATGCCTTCAGTACAGACAGTGTTTAATATTCCAAGATTTGTTGCCATAGCAACTGATTTTTATCATTTACATGGTGGTCACAATAATCAGCTATAGGTGTACTGTACATAATGTAAAATAGGGATGCAACTTTAAAAGTCAACTAGAGTGTGACAATGTTGTTTTGCGATGGGTAACATACCAGTGATGTAGTGACGATGTCTTCAATTACAGAATCATTTGAATCTTGCGTGACATTTGTTTCATCTTCTTCCTCCTGCTGCTGAAATAAATAAGAAAAACTTCATATCAGAGTCGTCCCACACAGAAAACTCCAATAACGTCAGAATTCACAAGTCAATTTACAATTCCCGAAAAAACAAATGGAACAATCACAACGGCTGATTCAGGGGGAGATAAATGGAAGTGATATCAGGTGTTTCAAAAAAGGCTGAGCACATACTGCTGCAGCACCTACAACAATTACCGCTCTTACAATATACATCTCTAAACCGCTCGTTTGAAAGTGAGATGAATAATCTTGAATGTGCCAATCAGTGTGCCCACTAACAAGAATGATGTTGTAGGGTCCCCTCCTAAGAAATCAAGTTGAGTCGGATTGTTGACCGTTTCTTCAAGAAAGAAACAAAAAATTGATGCAACCGTGTAGGCGACTTGAGACACAAATGAAAATGTGTACCCTTGAATTTCTTCATTTTTTCACTTACTTTGTTTATTGGAATGTAATTTTTTCTTTTACCAAATCACAAATTCCGTAAATATTGTTTTAAGATCACTAAATCAACGTATGCGAGTGAATTAGTACAACTATTTGTGTCACAGTAAACCTCTGTGCATCAGTGGCTTCTCATTTTGGCTCAGGGGGTGCACAATGTTGGC